CCAGAGGCCGCTCCGAGCGCGCCGCCGCCGCCGCCGCCGCCGCCGCCGCCGAGGCCGTGAGGAACCGGCAGCTGCTGCAGCCGCCGGAGAAGAGCCGGGCTCGCCGCGGGGCGCCGGGGGCGGGGCGGCGGAGGAGCACGCAGGCGCCGCCCTCCTCCTGCCGCCCCCGCCGCTCCCGCTTCGCCCGCTCCCCTCCCCCTCCCTCCCGGGGCGAGGGGCGGTGCGCACGAGGGGGCTGCGGGGCGGCGGCCGAGGCGGCGCGGCGGCCGCAGACCTTTGTTGCCGCCCACCGGGCTCCGGGCCCCCTGCGGTCGGAGGAGGCTCGGCGCCCGCTCTGCCCTTGATCTCGCTTTCCTTCGGAGGCCCTCCCTCAGCCCCGAGGCTGAGGTGAGGAGCGGACCGCGGGGGGAAGGGCGTGACTAGCCGGGCACGGTCTCGGAGAGGACCCGGCGCGTGGGCCGGCATCCCCCTCTGCGCGCCCCCGCCTCGTTGCGACTCCCCGCCGCCCCCGGGTGAGAGGCGGGGTGTAGGAGAGTCCCGAACAAGCAAAATGTGGCCATCGTCTTCCCCCGAATTCCCGAGGACTTTAGAGCGTGCGGGACCTGGGGACCCGGCTGACGTGCGCATGGTACTGGGATGACTGGACAAACACACGCGCGCGTACAAACACACACAGACACCCCACACACAGCTAAGGCATCGGTGTCGGGAAACGCGGTGGCCCGAAGCACGCGGAACCCTGTGCAGCCGCGAGAGACGCAGCTCGTGGAACCCTTTCTGTCGTCACCAGCTGAAAGGGAATCCCGGCCGGGGGCGGGGAGGGATGGGAGCCGAGGATAATTTAAATGTTCTGTCTTTCACCTAGTCTGGAGTTCACCTCCTTGAAAAGGTAGATAGAAAATACTAATGCAGCGAATGGTTTACAGTCAGATGGTGCAGAGGGCCTCTGAGAAGCCTGAATTTGTGTACGTGTTGGGATGGGGGTGGGGGTTGTAGAATGAAAACAGCAAACCCAATGATCTAATAAAAATTTAAACTGAGAAATAGCCCGCTTGCGTGTGCAGTATACAGATGAGAAGACTAGGGTAGAAAGGATTTTGCTGCTACAAGATTCCTATTACATCCAAAATGGAGGACCTACCAATACTGCAGGAATCCATTCAAAAGTTTGATGTTCCATATAAAATGGGCTGCGGTTCTAAAGATACTTATGAAAGCTGGCAATATATGTGCACTTTCAAATGACAAGCGAACATATCCTAGGCATTCTTGAATTGTCCAGCCTGAATTGTCTGGAGAACAGTTTAACCTGTTTTAACTATGAAAAGCCTCCTGGTTTCAGAGCTCAACAAAGACGGTTTGCTTTTTGGAAGGAAACCCTACAAGAAGCAGTGACCTAGAGCTGTGGCATAGGACCAGGGTGGCCTCGGGTAGTAAAAAGCATGGTGCCTCTGCCCTAAACATGGTGTACTTGAAGAACACTAATTTCCACCCACATAGCTAATTACAGCTTGCCATCACAGAGCTTTTTATTCAAGGATCTCCAGGGACTGAAGAGAAAACAGCCTTGTCAGCCAAATGTCCTTGTTGCCCATATTACAAAAAGAGATAGAAATATACATCCCCAGCAACCTCGGGCGTTATTAGTACAATGCCATTATTAGAAAACATCACAGCTATGAGGTACACTGTGTTTGTATAAAGGGCATCTGTATAAAATGCTTGCACCTCAAGTATTCAACAAGTTAACAAATGTTTGCCATGGAAGCCTTTATTCTTGAAGAAAAAAAAAAGTATTAATGCCTATTGAATTGTCTTGGGGAAAGAATTAAGACACATTCAACCAGAAGTCACCCCAGTTTTCCTCAGTTCATTCATACCAATATAGTAAGTGCAACAGAGCTTATGTTTCAGATAAAAGTCTTACCACCACTTAAAGAGGTTGGAGATACCGTTGTAATGACTCAAACTATCTCTTGTCAGAGACAAACAGCAATAAAAATTCCTTGCAAATGACATCATAACCTGCTTCTCATTTTTGCTAGTTAATCCATCCTGATCTAAAGATGTCATACATCACCATCATTGCTATCCTAACAGCTAATGTCCCAATGGTATGAATACCAAATTAAGTGGTGCAAGAGGAAAATGCTATTCTTGTTTTCTGTGTTTATTAAAAATGTACCAGCCAAGAATGTTGGCTGCCTACACCCATTTCCATCCTTTTTAATGGCAGCCTGCCAGCTCACAAGTTGGTCACACTATTGCCTTTGGATTTAGATCTTGCATTCACTGGCCTGACCTCCAAAGGTCATTTTGTGGAAAGGCAGTTTGTTAGCTCTGACAAAATGTTGCTTCTTGTTCATATTTGGTCTAACATTGAGAGGACAGAAAGGAAACTGGAGCTAAAACAGACTGATTCTGGTCACTGAGGAAACTTCATAGAATGAAAGAATTTTAGAGATGGGAGGAAGAATCTTAAGTCGTTCACTCATTTTTAAGAAGAGGAATGTGAAATCGGATAGGTTAAGTAATTTGCCCATTGCCACATCGTGCCTTTGTAGTGGAACTGAACCTCAAACCCAGGATTTCCATCACTTGGTCCCTTGTTCGCTCTCCTACATCATACTGACTTCCTGTTGTATAAATGAGAGTTCCCTAAGAAAAGTACACCTGATTGTCTCCTCACAAACCTAAACTTGCGCTTAAAAATTAAAGTTGGCTTGACTGAATCATTGAACTTTTCAAAATGATTTTAGCTCTATGCTATAAAGGCTGCCAGTCTCAAACACAATGCCTGGCCCAACATGTAGGGACCTGATGTTTGAAAGGTGAATGAAAGAATTAACCAGTGAGTGAATAAACAGCTACCCTAAGATATGGAAGACATTATTCAGAAGAAAATACATGTGTGCACTTGTGCACATGTGTATGCTAGGGCTCTGACTCCGCTTTCACATGCTAAGCTAGGTATATTCAATCACAAGCTACATTCCCAACTCAAACTTTCTTCCTAACACAAGTATATAAATCTCAACTTTCCCTCACAGAGACTTTTTACCACAGTTTGGTATAGCAAATTGACCCACACTGCTGGAAATGAGAGAAACCATGCTTCTGCTGGTGATAGGCTGGTTATGGGAGTCAGTCTGGCTCTGAGGGCTTCCCCAGAGCTGACCTTGTTTAAATTGATAGCATCAGTAGGCTTGGACTCCCATTTATGGACATGAAGAGGAAGCATGACTAATGCGTCTCTGCTATCAGAAAATCTCTGTTAAGAGCTAAACATTGCTCATCCCTTAAAAGAAAGTTCTCCCTGAAATTACCTGAGAAGGATGAAAATGGAAAACGAATGTGGGGTGAACTTTACTGTATACTTAACAATTGTATGTAGCAGTACTGTATTCACTGGCAATTCACAGTAAAATGTTTGTCTCCCAACCACCCCCCCTAAAAAAAAATAGTGGGAAAATAATGTAGAACATGACACTCAGCAGGATTCAAGATGGTTT